ACACTCAGGTCCCCCCAAAGCTTCTCTTGTGCAGCTGAACAATCCCAGCTGTGCCAGCCTTTCCTCCCAGCAGAGCTGCTCCAGCCCTGGGATCCTCTTGGTGCCTCCTCTGGGCTCTCTCCAGCAGCTCCATGTGCTCCCTGTGCTGTTCCCAGGGCTGGAGCAGCTCTGCAGGGGGGTCTCAGAGGGTCACAATCACCTCCCTCAAGCCGCTCCCACTCCTCTTTTGGGGTGCTGTTGGATTTCAGAGCTACCAACACACACTGCTGGCTCATCTCCACCTTTCCACCCACGAGAATTCCCCCAAATCCTCCTCCCCGGGGCTGCTCTCAGTGAATTCTTCTCACGCCTGGGATTGCCCCCACCCAGGGGCAGCACCAGCTCTGGGATTTGTTGAACCCCAGGAGGTTCTCATGGGCCCCTCCTCCTGAAAAAAAAACAAACAAACAAACAATAAAATGCCATTAAACAAAACCACTGCAGTGAAGTTCCATGGGGGTTTTTTTTTCTGCTTTGGCACTGGTGGGACGGTAAATAGCGCTGAGGGGCAGGGGCTGAGGTGCCTTAAGGAGTGTCTGCAGTGCTGGTGACGCACAAAGCTCCTGTTCCTGATCCACATCAGCTCTTTTGTTCGCTATCAGCACAATCTCTTCTCTTTTACCGGGGTCTCCCCCTCCTGCCGGGGCTCTCTCCGCCGTTCCCAGCGAGCTGGGAAGCTCTGGAATGTGCCTTCCCCTGTCTGGGGACAGGTTGGGCTCCCAAGGTCGCTGCCACCCTCGGATTCCACCCCGGGAATGCCGCAGGTTGTCCCGTCCCTCCCTCCTGCTTTTCAAGCTCCGGTGGTTCGGCTCCTAAATCAGGGAGAGGGAGAAGAGAAACACCCAGGGGAGGTAAAAGCCATTTACAGCAGGAATGGTGGTGGTTACTGATTTACAGAGAGCTCCGAGAGCCGCTGGAAAGGGCAACTGCCACAAAAACTGCGCTAGGGGTTAAAAGGAAGAGGAAGGTGGGGGTTCCTGACCCTGGGAAAAGGGAAGGGAAATAAAAAATAGTGATAACAGTAAGAATAATTTAAAAAGGAATAAAAGAAAAAAGAGGAAAATGGAAAAGGAAAAGGAAGAAAAGAAACGGGAAAGGGAAGGGGATGGGGGGGGAAGGGAAAAAGGAAAGGAAAAGGAAAAAGGAACAGGAAAACAAAAAGGAAAAGGGAAGAGGGAAAGGATAAAAAACAGAGAAGGAGAAAAAGGAACAGGAAAAAGGAAAAGGGAAAAGGAAAAAGGAAAAGGAAGAATGCTGTGGTGTAACCTCTGTGCAAATAACAAAATAAAATGAACATTTTTGAAAAAAGAACATTATTGAAAAATGAACATTAGTGAAAGACAACTGAGCACTGGACCTTGAGTGCACAGGAAACTTCCCCATATCAGCAGCTCTGATGATTTCAGTGCTGTCCTGAAATATCCTGAGTTTTATTGCCAAAATCTGTAATTATCAGAGAATCCTCAAGGCTGGAAGAGACCTTCAGGACCATCCAGTCCCACCATCATCACCCCTAAACCCTGTCCCCAAGCAGTCCATTTAAAACCTAAACTAAATTTAAAAATTCTCTCTATTTCCCCCCCAAAATAATTGTGTTAAAATCCAAGTTCAAGTGAAAATAGTTGAGAAGTTGGCTCTGTTAAACAAGCTGTTAAAAGCTGTGAAAGGTGAAGTGAAATTTAAAACAAGAGTGTAAAGAATTTAGATTTAAAACAAGATATAAATTCAAAACAAGAACATAG